GGGTGTAGGCAATGCTCTATTTCTTGACAGAGCTCTGGGTACATTGGGTACATGGTTGTACTCAGTTTATGTACTTCCTGTGTTATGAAACACTTCAGTAAACTCATATGGAGGGATGCCTGATGAATCCTTATCAGCTACCATCTTGTAAGATGAGGGGAATCTTTTTTACCTCTCCCTCCCACCCCACCTCCAAGTCCTGTCCCTTCTCCCCCTAAATCAGTCTTGGCCTCCCTCCCTCCCCCCGAGCCCTCCTGCTGGCGCACCACCTCGCTAACTTGAACCATCATCATCGCTCACCACATGACTGTGACCACCTCCCCCGGGTCGCCCTGCTTTGCCTCTCACCCCTTCCAATCCGTACACATACCACATGGATGTCAGGGCTTAGGAGGAACCGGGAACTGCCAGAGGGAGCCTTTGTCAGATGCCATAAGAGCTCCCAACTCTTCTCCATCTCAGGACCTCCAAGCATGCTGTTCCCACTACTGAGGATGCTTGTCCTCACTAACTGCTACTTGCACTTGGGCTCCTTGCTGAAATGCCACTTCCTGCAGCTCCCAATCTAATTCCGATCCATTGGCATCTCCTATGACATCCTTTACTTCCCCTCCCTAGGACTGTTTCCAATAAGGTCGGCCTTTGTGCAATCACTTGTTGACAGTTTGTTCTTTCTTCCACTGGATTAACACCCCCTCTGAAGGCAAGCACAGGGCTGTCTGCTTTCCCGCTCTATCCTCAGCTCCTAGCTCAGTGCCTGGCTTAGAGCAGCCGCTCAAAAATGCTTGTTGACTCAGAGACTAGATCTTACTTGTTCCCACCACAAAAAAGAAAGAATAATGTGGCGTGATAAAATTATTAGCTAATACTACTGTGGTGATCATATTGCAATATATAACTGTGTCAAATCAACATGCCCTACACTTTAAACTTATACAATGTCACATATCAATTATCTCTCAATAAAATTAACATCTTAAAAATACATAAACTTACAATGAAATAAAGTCAGTTCAAAACTAAGGTAATAAATACCCAAAAACTCAAAACATAAATGCTTGTTGAATAAATGCATGGCCAGGTCCAGTCTTACAGGTAGCATTTGGATAAGGGAAAAGTTGCCACTGGAAACAGAACTCCCACATGTCCAGGGTCAGGTTGTGGTCCTGGTCTGTTACTTATTGTGTCACCTCAGGCCAGTCATTTCCCTCCTCTGGGCCTCAGTGTGCTCAACTGTGACATGCAGGGGTTGGAGGGATCTGGACCATGGGTAGGCTTAAGGGGATGTATGACATTGTGCGTGCGTGTGTGTGTGTGTGTGTGTGTGTGTGTGTACAGTGGCTGTGTATGTGTGAACATGTCCATGAGCATTTCCTGAGCAAGAACAGCCATAGCGTTCATCAGATTCTCAAATAGATCTGTGACCTCACAGGATTCACCAAGATCCTTTTTCAGCGCTGGGGAGTTTATGATTTATAGAAAGAACTAGAGAGAGGAAGGAATGCAACCACAGCAGAGGGCGTTAGATTAGACCCAGCACTTCCATCAGGGGTGTAGGAGCCACAACAAGCAGGCAGGGGAGGCTGCAGCACCTGCCTCCTGGGGATCTCCTAACTCAACCGGTCTCTGGGCTACTGGACAGAGGCCAGATGAACTGACCCCAGGGACTGGCTTTCGGAGAGAAAAGGTAGAAGCAGCCTAGAGTCTCCCGCCCTCTGCTCCCACCACCATCCAACAAGCACCCACTTGTACTGGGACACGGCAGAGAGTGAGGAGGCGAGGCTGGCACCTGGAGATGCCCTCCAGGCCCCTTGGCGCCCAGGTCAGAGAAGGTTTGGCGGGAATGCTTAGGAGGAATGCCAAGCCCCACCTTCCCTTCTCCTGAGGCTGGCAGGCTGGCATATGTTGCCAGAAGAGGGCTCAGTGTGTATGGCAATCATAGGACCAGGAGGAGGCCACCGGAGGGATGCAGAACCACACCTCCAGGCTCCGATCATCCAGAGCAGGGGCTCAGGGGCTTGGGAGCAAAGAGGAGGAGCAGGTCACAGATTCAGGACAGGCAGGAGTGGTGTGGGCAATGGGGCCTGAAAGCAGAGAGAGGGCAGTATGGTCTGTGCACAGGACAGTCTGCTTAGGGGGAAGACTGGGGACAGCATGCAGGAGGAGAGGGCAGTAGGGCCTGGCAGGGAGGGGCTGCCCAGAGGGGGGAGAAGACAGGAAAGGCTGGGAGTAGGGATAGGTGATTTGAGCACAGCCTGTGACCCCCAGGAGAGGAGCTTGGCCTGGGGAATGGGGATGGGAGGAGGGGAATGGTCTGTGGCAGGAATGGTGGCATGTTGATGGCAGGATGGCAGTGGGCGTGCCCTGGCTGGGAGCCCAGATGCCTGAGTAGCTTCTAAGCCCTGACTCCCAGGGGGGCTAAGCGCCCAAGAGATGTTTATCCTCCACAGTCCATAAGAACTTGGTAAAACACCTCCTCTAGTGAGATGGTCGCCTGGCTACTCTTTCCTGGGTCACTGAAGTGTCCTGAGAGTTGTAAGATGAATGGGAGGTGAAGGGGGGCTGGCAAAGAAGAGAGCAGCCAGCAACAGCCCCCACCTCTGGAGCCAGAGCCAGGGGGCAGTGGGCACAGGCTGGGGCTGGATGGAGGGTGTAATCCTGCAGATAAAGAAGGGAATGAGTCATGGGTGAGAGCCAGGCTCTCTCAAGAGGCAGCTCAGAAACCAGCTCATCTGAATGCAGACAGACACTCGTCCCCATCCTTGTCCCTATGACTGTCACACACCCACACACACGCCCCTCCCCCTCCGTCTCCCCTCTCCTTGATCACCCACCTCCAGTGCCCTGCTCCTTCCTCCATCTCAGCAGACAGCCTGTCCCTCAGCCCACCCGGCACCTCCCCTACAGCTGGCTGCATGGGAGTGGAAGAGGTAGGGAGACAGGGAATCTAGGAGACCCACCAACAGAGAAAGTACAGTCAAGAAAGGTCTGGGGCTCTAGCTGGTTTGGCTCAGTGGATAGAGTGTCAGCCTGCTGACCGTAAGGGTCCCGGATTCAATTCCAGTCAAGGGCACATGTCCCGGTTGTGGACTCGATCCGCGGTGTGGGGCGTGTAGGATTCAGCTGATCAATGATTCTCCCTCATCATTGATGTTTCCATCTCTCTCTCCCTCTTTCATCCTCTCTGAAATCAATAAAAATACATTTTTTAAAAAAGAAGAATGGTCTAAGATAGAGACAGATAAGGAAGAGGGGCTGTGAAATTACTTCCCCCTGAAAACTCGAGCCTCTAAGGAATAAGAGGAGCCTGGATGATCTCTGGAGGGGCCCGAAAGCCAGGGATTCTGCCACGCCACCTTCCCTGGCTGGACCCTCCGCCCCTTTGCCAGGACTGAGAAGCAGCAGTCTGGGAGGAGCAGCCAACACCCCCCAGCCAGCACCCCCAGGCCTCATCCTGCCCCTGGGCCCCAAGCTAGGCTCAGGCCTCCAGCCACTGCAAGGGCTCAGGCAACAGCTACATCCCAGGCGTGTCCCTCACCGTGGTCTGTCACCGTGGTGATGACCCGGCCAACGCTTAGGAAGGACAGAGAGTTCTGTTTATAAGTACAGCCTTATGCCTGGCACTGCGGAGTACAACCATGAATATGCCATAATTCGTGCCCTGAGGGGCATCCAGGCAAGCGGGGCAGAGGGATCACTTTGAGACATGTGTGTGCAAGCACACACACATACACAAGTACACACACACACACACACACACACACACCTGGCTTCACTGGCTGCCCCGGTGAAGGGGGAGAAGGGAGCTGGGATGTAGCCACAGGTACATTTTGAGTCCCCCACACGCTGTGTACCCAAGTGGAGAGAGATAAGGCAGCACCATAATCCAAACCCCGCACAGCAAACAAATCTTAGAAGACTGCAGCTCTCACAGCCCCGAACAGGGAGGTAGGCTAGGATTATGCCGGGAGCCTGGAGCAAGTTATACAGTCCCTAGTGACCCCAAATATCTCCCTCTCCTCCTCTGGGAGAAACCTAGTGCCCACACCTGTACCACACCTGCTGCTTCCCAGGCAGATGCCTCCTCCAGGACAAACACCAGCCAGTCACCACCCCCGGGGGTCAGTTCCCCACTCGGAAGGCTCCAGGACTTACCCAGACAGAGAATGCAGGAGTGAGGGTCCAGCTGCCCCCACCATCCTCAGGGCAGTCTTGCTCCGGTGGGGTCCTCCCTGCCTCAGTAGGCCCCTCCCTCCTGGCTAGAGAGCCTGGGTCAGGGACAACAGCCACAGCTCCGAGGAGGGACACCTAGGCGACTCCCAGACCAGCTCAGCGGAAATGAGCACTTCCAATGCCTTTCCCGAGCCCTCCCAGCCCTGCCCCTCCTGGAGGGCTCCGAAGCCCCACCTGAACTATTTGCCCTTTTAAGGGCCAGGTGCTGCATCACCCTCCTCCCAAGGGCACTAGCAATCCAGGTGAGACCTCACCTAACTCTGTGCCTTCACCTGGTCCTAATCCAACCCGCCCCCCTGGGGCAGCCTGCCCTTACTGCCCACCTCCCGACAGCTGACGGGCTCTTTCTGGCTTGGCTCCTTACCTGTCTCAGGTGAGCTAGGCTCTGCCTACCACCCACTCCCCCCACCCATCGCCGCAGTGCCTACCTGAGGCAGGAGCCGCCTGCTCTCGGCGCGGACCAAACCCCCGGGCTCCCAGCACTGGCCCAGCGCCGGGCCCGGGGGGTTCCCCGGGGGTTGGGGGCCGCATGGGGGCCCGGGCTCCAGCGCCTCGCAGCACACCAAGCTCACTGTGCAGCCCATCCGGCCCGGCCCCCCGCGG